CCCCCCCAAAATTGGTTTGTTAATAACTTTTTTACTAGAAGTGTGCAAACGAAAATTCGAAATGTGCATACATGTGCAAACAATGAGCAATCAAATGAGCTAAAGAAAATTAATTTTTTTTAAATTTGGGGGGCTAATTTCACACGGGTGACAGCGACGGCAACAGCAGCATCAGCAGCGAGATAATTGACGTCGAGACAAGCAGCAGCAGCAGCAGCGATAGCGAACGCGAAACCATCGCCGACATCGTACGCTGCAAGAAAAATCCTCCGAAGAAAATTCCTCCGCGTATGTATACGCTCAAGAATAATATATACATTTATCGTACATGTTAATACCGCGCGATTGTTAATAATTTTTTGTACATTTCTTTCACACAAGCGATCTATGTCGACTTACGAAAGGCCTCGCTAGAAGTAGAATTATTCACGCATAAGCGAGGAAGGAAATACCGGCGCGAAGATCTGTAAGTAGTGCGTACGTATGCGTGCGCGTGTGTGTGTGTGTGTGTGTGTGTGTGTGTGTGTGTAACGCATTAACTTTGTTTTCTGTTTACAGTGTATTGCACGACAGACCCCCTCCCAGCCCGATGCGACCCGCCGCCAACATCGAGGAGGAGGACGTAACACCGTCGACCTCCGATTTGGAGGAAGACGACGACCCCGCCGAGGAAAATCCACGTCCGGGACTGAGCAAGTAAGTATCAACATCCTAATAAAAGGCTTGTGTGTGTGTGTGTGTGTGTGTGTGTGTGTGTGTATGTGTGTTTGTGTTTGTGTAACGCGTTAACTTTTTTTTCTGTTTACAGCATATTGCGCGACAGACCCCCTCCCAACCCGAGGCGACTCGCCGCCAACATCGAGGAGGAGGAAAAGGAGGACGTAACTCCTCCGGCCTCCGATTTGGAGGAAGACAACCCCGCCGAGGAAAATCCGCGTCCGGGACCAAGCAGGTAAATATTAACATCCTAATAAAAGACTAGTGTGTGTGTGTGTGTGTGTGTGTGTGTGTGTGTGTGTGTGTGTGTG